CTCTCTCTTTCTTTTCTCTCTTTCTTTCTTTCCTCACTTTGTTGCCCAGCTGAAGTGCAATGGCATGATCTTGGCTCACCACAACCTCCACCTCCTGGATTCAAGTGATTCTCCTGCCTCAGCCTCCCGAGTAGGTGGGATTACAGGTGTGCACCACCACACCTGGCTAATTTTTGTATTTTTAGTAGAGACGGGGTTTCACAATATTGGCCAGGCTGGTCTCAAACTCCTGACCTCAGGCGATCTGCCCCCCTCTGCCTCCCAAAGTGCTGGGATTACAGGCATGAGCCACCATGCCCAGTCAACATTTTCTTTATTTTGAGAGGAATCACGGTGAAATGAAGAGCTTAGACTTTGAAGTCAGACAGGCATTGGGTTGAAGTCCTTAATAGGATTTTAGTAGCTCCAAAACTGAAAATATTATTTAACTTTCTTAATAAATGTATACTCATCTGCATTTGCATTTGCAGATGAGTATACTTTACAGGGTGGTTGTAATAACTAAATTAAACAATATAGCTAGCTTGAGAGAGAGAGTCTGGCACCTTTTAGCTGATTGGTTAGCTGATTAGCTAAAGTCAATAAGGAGAGATGGGTTGTTTAATAAATTATTTTGGATCCACATCGCAATCAGGATTTTTTTTTAAATGCTATGCCAAAACGTCAAGATGTGTTAAAAATTTCAATATTGTTTTTAAAGTACTAGATGAAAAGAATTATCTAAAAATACAAGATCAAACAATTAAAAATGAAAAGAACAATCTAACCACTTAACTATATAAAAATATGGTTTGATAAACATTGGATTATCAAAAGACAAATTATTCAAATTACCAGTAAGAGAGGAATTTACTCCCAACACATTTAAGGAACAAAATTTAATGAATTTAATTTGTAAATAGTTCTTTTAAATTTAGAAAAAGAACAACTTCCAAATTAAAAATGAACAAAGTTCACATATAAAGCAATTTACAAGATAAAAAAAGATGAATTAATCACGTAAATATAAAATACTTCTTTTCTTCTTTTAGATCACTGAAATTTAAAACCATAGATAATATCCAGTGATTTAAAGAGTGTTGGAAAATATTACTATCACACAGTGTTTGCAACAAGGTTAATTGATTTAGTATTTTTGGAAGATGACAGAGAAATTAGTGAGAAAATTTTTATGTAGCCTCTTTTACAGAGAAATTCCACATCTAAGTTTTTAGCCACAGGAAATGTACACTACAAAATGTTTCATAAACTAGATACACATCATGGCAGTAGTGATAATATAAAAATGGAAAATAATTTAAAATACAATTAATATGGTACTGGTCCATAACACTTCTATAAATAGCTTTAAAAAGGAATGAGGAAGGCCAGGCATGGTGGCTCACGCCTGTAATCCCAGCACTTTGGGGGGCCGAGGTGGGTGGACCAACTGAGGTCAGGAGTTCGAGACCAGCCTAACCAACATGAAGAAACCCCTTCTCTACTAAAAATACAAAATTAGCCAGCTGTGGTGTTGCATGCCTGTAATCTCAGTTACTCAGGAGGCTGAGGCAGGAGAATCGCTTCAACCCGGGAGGCAAAGGTTGTGGTGGGCCAAGATCGTGCCATTGCACTCCAGCCTGGGCAACAAGAGTGAGACTCCATCTCAAAAAAGAAAAAAAAAAAAAAAGAAATAAGGAAGAGCTCTATTTATTGAATGTGAGATACTTATACTATATTAAGTACAAGACATAGATGACTGAATGGTATCTAAATAGAAATGGTATGATCCCATTCATATATGAAAATATATATTCTTTCCTTATCTATATATATGAAAAATATATTCACCAAGAATTATATATAAGTAGTTTTAAAAATATTTTTATATATTTTTGAATGGTTTTATTTTGAACAATGAAAAAGGTACTATTATAATTGGAAAAATAAAAATATTTTTATTTTGAAAATCAATAATGAATTTAATTTCTCTCTTATTCATGTTGAGTTTAACAGTATCTGTACAAATATTTTAAAGACTTCAGATATATAAGTTCAAATATAACTCGGATTCTGAAGGGCTGGTGTAATATTTATCTCTACACTGTTTATATTTCAGTATTAAAAATTTATGCTTAAATATTTTAAGAAACTTCAAATGCTTTTATAAATCTACTCTAAAACTTCTTCCACATAACACTGCAATTTGGTTACTATCGTAACCACATAAATGATAGAGACCCAAAATATTCTAGCTTTTCATGTCCCAGAGTTTCCCTCAATCTCAATCTCTTCAAATCAGCTTTGAAATTTTTGACTTAAAAGAGTAAGATTGCTCTAGCCACTGTTACCCTTCATAGATGAGTTAACTTTTTTTTATATTGTCATTACTGTTTTAAAACAGGCTGAACTCCAAAAAACACCATTACAAATGAAGGACTGCCTTTTCATTAAATTCATAAGCCAACTCTTATATTTAGATCAGAGTATTTCATGGTAACTGTGTGTAAATGTAAGTAGGCATGTAAGGGTGTGTGTATGCATGGATATTTACTAGGTGTGTGTATATGCATGTGTGTTGTATATGGAACGCATACAGACATCCACACTGTATATGCATATATGTTTAGGTGTTGTAGTGAACATGTGTGCATGCTCATGTACATCTTGTGTGTGTATGATATACCAAGACGGAATATCCAAAAAGGAAACATATACAGTGCATTTAAAATGAAGCAAGCATTTAGACATTCCCATTTACAAACAGTACTGGGGATCGTAAACATCAGCAGCATCTCTGAGGTCAAGTTTACAGGGTAATTTTATTTCTGAAAATGGAGGCATATGGAATTTTTATGGATCCAGTGTGCTGTGAGTCTGAAGTCCAAATTTTGATAAATGAATTCCATGCAAAATATATTTATTCTAATATGTTAAAAAGGAAAAATGATATGCTTGATACTATAGCACCACAAAACTATGTTTCTCCTAACTGCTTCATTTTTTTTTCCCCAAACTGCAAAGTCAATTCTTGTGCACAGAACAAAAAAAAATATGTCTATGGTCTGAAAAGTAGTTAACCTCAATCCAAGAAGTGTAACACTGAAAGTTTAAATGCATTTTATATTTTAGTTATTATCATTATTATTATTATTCACTCCCTTTTGGTCATTTGAAATGTTTAGAAGTTTTAAAAAGGTGTGAAATAACATTATATAATTTACTGAAATATCCCTTTTTCTCATCTTGCTTCCCTACATTTACTTTTTGCATTTTCTTCTTCCCATTTGCTTTTCAAGTATAGAAAGATATATGAAATAAGAATTTTTGTAGGATTTGTAAACTGATTAAGTGCATCAAAGAGGAAGAATGTTTTTTTCTGATTCTTTTATATATTTCTTTACATTATTTTGAATTCATAGTTAAATTTTTGAAAGATAGTGGTACTAATTTTTTTAAGGATGTCGAAGGAAACAAGAGTATAACACTGATTTAGGGAAACATTCATTAATTGGTATTGAAGAAGATTCTATCTTATTGCCATGAATCATCTACTTTGGGGCATATACACACACATATTGTGATGTGGGATAAGAAGCTTAAGCATTAGGGAAAAAGCAAAGTAAATTTTCTTTTAGAAATCAGCAATGTGTAAAACCAAGGAAATAACATAGGCCAAATGAAATAATGAATATTATTCAGTATAACATGCATATTTTGATACACAATTAGATTTTATATTTCGTGATTCTATGTGGAACAGAAGAATGAGTAAGAACTTAAGTTCACTCTTAGCTGGAACCTCATGTTGGGATAGATCTCCTTCATTTAGAAATATTTTTAAGGATCGAAAAGAGCTAAAATATAAGAGAATTAATCATAAATTATATTTTATGAAGATTGGTAGACTGAGCTGCCTTAAATTATTTCTGGAACAAGATGGGATCTTAATAAATCAATTAATTCACTGAAAACTCAATAAACAAATTATGTTGGCCTCTTAAGAGTTTATAACTTTTTAAAAAGTCTTCTATTTATTCACACACACACACACACACACACACACACAAACTCAATCATTATTCATGTATACCCTTATGATTGTTTTAATGGAGAGATCAAAGAAGTAAGAAAATACTCTGAGAGCAGAATTTTCTAGGCTTCTGCCTTTTAGAACGGATTGATTTTGTGCCCACAACAAGAATATTCATTTGCAAACAGATCATTTGAGTTTGGAGTCTTTTTATTCAGTATTTACCATAATAAGTCAGATGATTGTACTCATAATAGTGGCACTCATAGGATGTAGGAAAGAGTAGTATTCCGTAGAAAAACAGGGAAGAATTAAGCATAAATTATTGGAATATCAGTGCATTAGATAGGAACGGCATAGTCATGTGCCTACAAAAGCATTATTTGCTTCAGAGTAAATGAGAAACTATTAAATGAATCAATAAGTAGCAAAACAGATGAAAGAATGATAAATACATGTCTACATAAATGCATTAATAAAGTAAACTTTCTTTCTGAACAACAAAACATCTTGAACAATATACTTCTTGAATAGTAGTTTTTACACGTGTTAGAAAAATACAACTTCATTTTTCTTACCACCTCTAAATGGCAAAACTCTGTTATTCTGTTATGAAACTCACTGAAACCAAACAACGAACAGAGAATTCAATAGGGTGATCTCCACACATTGACTGGATCCTTGAAATTACCTGGGATGCCAATAATTTAAATACCCAGGTTCCATTTAGACATACTGAATTCAAATCTCCACAGGAGGGTTAAGATTAGGTAAGACATCTTGCAAATAAATATGCTATATGTTGTAGAAAGTCACTTATTCTGATTATTTTATATCATATTGGTAACTGTAATAACTACCTTCTTCTTTAAGGGTTGGGATACAAAGCAACAATTTTGACCTGATGTTATTTTTAATTTTTTGGTCCAAAGAAGAATGGGAAAAAATTTAAGTTTCTATGTTTTAAATGTCTGAGTAATGTACTTACTACAGTTTTCAGCTTTTCTATTGTCCCGGATTACTATTCTTTGGTTGATTGTGCTGAAGAGTGTTGTCCAGTTAATGGTATGATAATAACACAAGTTGCTGTTGTCAGTAATATAGATGTTTCCTGCACTGATTTCCTTCAGGGACTGGAACTGTAGAGAGGTGATGCCCTGTTGCTTGAGGATAAGCAAGGAGAGGCCACTAAGGAGGGGGAAAGGAGAAAATGGAACCATGAGACACATTCTGGAGTAAAATAAGGCTGCCACATTTTACTTTTAAAATAATGTTAATGGAGTATAAATAGAGACTGAATCAGTAACTCTGTGTTTTGAATAATGTTTGTTTTTATATGCTATATAGTTTTTAAAGTAATAATTTGACCTTCCCAAAGTAAAATTTCCATTGCTTACAGTTATGCATATTGGCAGTGTATCTCTATTTCTGTGTATATATTTACCACTGAAATATCTGCTATCTTCCCACCCCAAGCCTTAACTTTACATTGTTCAATGATGAAATCCTGTATTAACACTAAAGAAGTGTTTATAAAACAATCGTTCATCTACTCAAAGTAAGACATTAATTCCTCTTTATGTAATAGATTTAGACATATAGACATACTTTCAGAGTATGTCTAAATAATTTCAGAAAATGATTATAGGTATTTAGCTTTAATTTATACCTCAGACACCAGAACTGTAATAATTGAGGCATGTGTAAGTAAGGTTAGGAGACGGTAAAAAGTAAAGAATAAAACTAAACTAAAATTAGAAAAAGAAAACAAACTCAGATGCCTTGGGTATCTAGGGAAAAGGTCTCTAAAAGTTAAATAACAACTACCCTGTTTCAAATTGCTCACATCATGCACTCCATACTTGGAAAATACTAATATTACTTTGAGTGACAGATGATTGAAAAATCAAGGAAACTACTTTTATTTTAATATAGTCCACATTATTATAATTATTTACTTTTTTACTTATTTACTTTTCCATTCTCTAAAGCATAAACATGCTTCCCATATTTCAATCAGTTAATGAATATTATTTTACATTTTGGAGATCAATGCTTTCCACTTTTATTTTTAGTTTTAAATATTCTTTGCTGTTAATATTTAGAATTATTTTCCATGGTTGTCAGAATGTGTGTGTGTGTGTGTTTGTGTGTATGTATGCTCAACGATAAAGACTAAGATGTAACTCTTTCTCTCAAATTTTGTCCCCATCATAACTATCTTGAGTTGTTGATTACAATGTTAGCACAATGCCTCGATTGGCTTATAATATTTATTCAATGGATAGTAAAAGTTGTTTACATATAGCACTTTAATAGATTGGATCTCTTGACTATCCTTTCTTATTAAGCTCCTTTCTCCTTTACATTTTTAAAACCTCTTTTAATATAACTTTTACATTTTAATAGTGAAATTCAATGTGCTTTTTATAAAATATTATAAAATCAATGATGATATTAATTTTGAAGATATTTTGAACTTAAGAATTTTTTAAATTTGTCTACTTACGTAAATTGACTTTTAATTGCTCATAAATAAGAACGTCATACAGATGACATTGAAGAAACCTGTTATTTACTCTTACAATGTGCATTTAAATTATTGACATTATAATTTTATCAATGTCCTTCTAAACCTGAATTTTCTTTTCCATTTATTAACCAGCAGTACATGTAGAACAGTGGACCAGTTCCTAAAACATCAGCCCTGTGATGTGTAGTTCAAATTAGAGCACCAGAGACAAGAACAGAACCTCTTGGCACAACAGCACTTGTATCCTATACACTCGAGCCATTACCAAGTCACACAACTCTTATCTTTTAATTATGATAACATCTGATAAAAAAGAAAGTTTCATTAATTGTTCATATCTTGCACCCCATACTTGCAAAATACTAATATTATTTTGAGTGACAGACAATTGAAAAATCAAACTATGTATTCTGTAATACTTCATACCATCATCGGAGGTATTTTCAATGAGCTTATCTTTGGAAATAAGGATGGAAGCATGATTTCCCCAGAATCAGTAAATCAATAAGAGTGATGGTTTTGAATTAATGCCCAGACGATGCTCCTCTTGAAATCTGTGAGACCTGCAACTTTAAACATATCCACTTACCTATAGAGTACTCTTCCACCAATGGTCACTAGGTTAGAAAAAACACTGAAATCAGTCATGTTTGGTGGCCATGACTGTATGTTCAGGAAACCTACAAGTGAAGAATAGTAAAAATAAATCAGAATATCATTGTCTTAGTAATAGTGCTGATTTTTCTTGAAATATGGTGAAAACATGTTGAAAGGTGGGAAGTGAGAAAGGGGTAGTGAACATTTCTATTTTTGAAGCACTCTATTACATATGTATTCTTCCAAGATTGAGTCTCTTACCCAATAAAACTGTATATGTTGAAAGGTTTCAGTGACTCAATTTGATTTATTCTTATAAATGCAAGAATGTAGCCTAACTAGATAAAGAGAAAAATATAGTTTCAATTTATCTGAAATCTTTTACCTCTTCATCTGTATACTTACGATATCAGTGTCACCCTCGTATTCTAAGACATTTATATACATATCTAACCTTTCGCATTAGATTTTGCATTATTTTACGGTAAGTCCATGTCTGATTCATATCTATGGGCCCCATATTACCTACTAAGACAATGTTGAACACATTACAGGCTTAATATATATGTGCTAAATAAATGCTACATGTTATCCATGTTCAAGAGTACTTCTTTTGAATAAGTAAACAGAAAAACATGGGTTCAAAGATCAGTTGACACTTGCAAGAGTTGTAATGTCAGACTTTCAAAGATACTCATTTTGTAATTCCATGGGCTTTCAAAATATGCATAAAAGCTAATACCATCTTTAAAAATAATACCAGTTTTTACAAACTAAAATCTACTTTGAAAATTAGTTGCTGATTCCAGTCTTATATAACTTTTTTTGTTTTGTTTTCCTTTTTGTTGTTATTTTGAGATGGACTCTCACTCTATTGCCAGGGTGGAGTGCAGCGGCGTGATCTTGGCTCACTGCAATCTCCACCTCCTGGGTTCAAGCAGTTCTCCTGCCTCAGCCTCCTGAGTGGCTGGGATTACAGGCACGCACCACCACACCCAGCTAATTTTTGTATTTTTAGTAGAGACAGGGTTTCACCATGTTGGCCAGGATGGTCTCAATCTCCTGATCTCATGATCCACCCGCCTTAACTTCTCAAAGTGCTGGGATTACAGGCGTGAGCCACTGTGCCTAGCCAATCTTATGGATTTTTTTTTTTTTTAATTACGTTGTCCATAGCACAACAGTTGCAGTTTAAAAAATTACCTGTTATCTCTCTGACTGTCCGAAAGACATTCAGTTTCTCTGGGTCTATGGCTTCAATTGCATTGTAAGGGTCCCTAGAAAATCAAGAAGAAATGTAGCCAAATTTAAATTTTAATAAAGGAGTGAAAATATGAGAAATGTGACAGTAGTTATTTTATTCAAATTTAATTTTAATTAGCAATAGGAGCGTTATCAATGCATGTCTAAATTAATCTGTGCTAGATGTGGAGGAGGAATAATAGGTGTTTTGTGGACATTTTTGATGTCACAAAATATGAGATTTTCATCAAAGCCTATTCTAGATCTAGAAGATTATTCAGATTGAACTATTCTGATGAAATTCCCAAAGATAGCAAGTTCATGTATGAACCATTTTACATTGCTTTGTTTTAAAAGTTTATTATTGATTTGGAAGAATATATATAGTCTAGAAATAAATTATATTATAGTGAGAACAACTGGTATTTATGCTCCTCAAAGAAGTATACATTGCTAATACTACCTGGAATTCATAAGAAGGATAGAAATAAGCACAGATAAAATCGACATTTTTTTTTTCTGTAGCTCTACATTTATCTACTCATGAATTTTCATAATATTTATGACATTGTCCAAAAGTATCTCTTCATACAGATTACTTAGAACCATCTTGTTCCTATCTAGCTTATTCATATTCACGTTTATAACACAGGAACTATTCGCTTCCATGTATATGAATTCAAGCAAGACTTCCAGTTTTGTTTTTTTTTTAAAATCCACAGTAAGTTTTAAAATTTTATTACGTTAAAAGACATTTCGCACTATCCTAGGTAGAGACCTCATATTAATATATATCATTTACAGAGAGATTAAATTTTATCCATTGGCTACTTCTTCAAGACAGATCAAAACTTCTAAGAACAGTGATCTTAGGCTTTTTTACAAGTATGTATCTACCTGTAGCAGTCAAACAAATTTTATTCTTACTGTAGACATCTCTTCTTTTACCGGTCTCTGAGAACATTCCTTTTCGGTATGGTGAATAACCACTAGTGATCCACTCTAAGTAGCCTTAATAGGGCTATCAATCAACATGCTCCATAATCCCCTGACAAACAGATAGGCATATGGCCTATGTCCTGGGGATTTGTGTCTGAATCCATTGGCATTTATTCATGCCAGCATTCAAGTCTTGAAAAGAGTATCAGTTCCAGCAACCTTGATCTCTGGAACCACCTTGTACTGGCTTTCTGAACTTGGTTCATCAGCATATTCTTCTCTACTGCAAACCATTTCACATCTTTAAAAAAAATTTGCTTGATTAAATTACTGTTTCAAACTAAGAAGTGCAATCAATACAATGTACTGCTAGTTTAACATGGAGTGCTTTATACTAGGCTCAAATACTAGATACTGCTGAGGTTGGAGAAACACTAAAAATGTGTTTCCCTATAATTCACACATAAACTATTGATTAAAATTTTCTCAATGTCATATTAATATCTCACAAAAGCTTAAAGTCTCAATTAAACGTTCTAGCAAACTTTCTCCATTTACAAGCAAAGATATATGGAACAAATAACTATGCTTTCGATGAATATGAAGCCAAAAATGAAATGTATCATGTAGGAAAACTCTTGCCTTCACTTTTTAATGTGCAAAGAATTTTGTATACAGAGGAAATATCAGCTCTGCCATACAAGAATGAGCTTTCAACATTTGTTCTTTGATGAAAAGCAGTGTATAGAACAGCTCAGGTCATATAATCAAATATTCTGGCTTTATTGAGAAAGACTCAAAATTCAGGGCAAGCACACAATAATGGGGTCAGTCTAAACCTTTACTGAGAACACTTCTATGTTACCAGGAATGAAATGAATTCCGGAATGCTAACATGAAGCCCAATGGACCACAGATATTTTATACAGTTAATTTTAGAGATTCAGGACTCTTGTAAAATAAGTTGACAGAATTCCACTCACTGACTTCAAAGTATGTCTTGGGAGTTGCATCCTGTAGCCACTCGAAATACACAGTACTTTAAAACAGTTAACTTTCCTAACTAAATTCAGAGCCATGCAAAAGAACGTTATGTCTACCGTGTCATTGTGTTTGGTGATCCAAAATAAAGCTCAGGAGAAAGACAAAGAAACATATTTTCATTTCCACTGAAATCACTTTGTTTTATCATCAAGCTTATTATTTCTCTTCCATTGTCTATCACCATTGCAATCTACCACGTAAACCCTTTCTTGCCAGTGTCTCATTGTGACACAGCATGAACATGCTTATTGGTATTTTGTTACTCTAAGCACATGCCCATCAACAGTGTAAAACGTAACAAAACATGAAGGAAAAGTTTTCCTAATGATAACCCTAAGCACTACGCTTTCCTGCAGTTCCTATCCTAAATAAGAAAATGAGTACCTACTACTATTTCTGGCAATGGTACTATTGTACTGTAAACTAAACTTGCCAATTAACTTTCTTGAGCCCAATTATATATTAAAATTTTAATTGATAAATTGCCAGTAAATATCTTTTATGAAGCAACTTATTTTTAAAAAGCATAACAACCTCATTAAATTGTTATTTTTGCATTTTATTAGTTAAAAACATCTCAGCTATTTTAATCAAACCATACGATCTTATTAAGAGCTAGTTAGTAAAATACTGCGGGTAATGGAAATTAAGTGAGGTAAAACATTTCTTTAATTCATTGCAAGTTTTCTGCTTATAATACTCTTTATTGTTCACCTTTAAAATATCTCTGTGCTTACACACGCGAACATACACACACACAAATTACATTCATAACCATACTTGCATCTATACATATATAACATGTCTAAGTCTACTGAATTAACTCTCTAGCCATACTTTCCTCAGATGAAAGAGAAAGGCTTCAGAATATATGTTTCATGCTGGCATGACAGTGAGAATAAAGGATACATCATAATTCATTTATATGTTTGTCTTGGAAAATACCTTATAAATTGTGCTTGAGACCCAATTATAATTATAATTTTAAATATTCCAGGTATAAGTGCTATCACTAAGGACAAATAATCATCTAAACTAAGAACCATGACTCATCATAAGGAAAATTTTGCCTTTATTTGGTTTCCAAAAGTCTATATAAGACTATAATCAAGTCTATAAAATTAATATTTGTTGCACAACATGCTGTGCTATAAATGAGACATAGGCACTGCGATTTTTCTTTTGCACTGTCTTCTTCTCCTCTTGTTTTGTTTTTATTGATTTTCATTTCTCTCTGTTCTCATCCTCCTCTCTCTCTCTCTCACTATCTTTCCCTCTTTCCCCACACTTCCAACCTTCTATTTGATACCATTTGTGAAGGTTTTACAATATGCCAGGCACTGCGCTGAGCAATTCAAAACAACTTTTGTTTTTAATCACCACAATAATCATATGAAATAGGTATTTATTGTTAATCCATTTCTCAAGTTTTTTATTGGAGGAAACCTAGTGTTTGACGTGAGAGAAAGCCACCCAACTCAACGCAAACCCTCCATGGTGGAGATACAAATCACATTCCAATCTGCTCTGGATCCAATTGTCCAAGAAGAAATCCCAACTCTCATTTTCTAAGTTTATGCTTGAGACAAACTTGGTTTACTTTTCTACTTCTAATCCATATAAGTTGATTTTCCATAAGCAATTTTTCACCTGGATGAATGAGCAATATTTTTCTCCTTAGAAGTCAGGGTTAGTCTAACGTAGTATTCTCCAATAAACTTGGAAATGCACGCTCCTTATTGCCTGATGCATTTTTATTCATTGGACTACGTGTTTCCATTTTTTATTACATTTATTTATTAAACATTCCTCCACTCTGGGCCAGAAGTGAATATATATATATATATATATATATATATATATATATATATATGGCTACATATTTTATATATATAGTCATTTTATAACTAGTAGAGATCTAGAGTTTTAATAATTATGTTCTATGATGAACCAAGACTAAAATAATCTGAACCTCACTAGATAAAATATTTTTGAAACCTTCCTACCCATGTTTTATCTTTAAGAATTTTAGCCTTAGCAGGTCACTTTTGGTGGTCTGCAATCTTTCTACTGTCACAGAATTCTTGCAGTGTTTCTCATTGGGGGCAGCATCACCCCACTAACAGGAAGTTGGCACATGTGTAGAGCTGCTTCAGTTGTAACAGAGACTGGGGGATCCTGTAGTTTACAGGGGTTATCACAAGGTTGTTAATTGTCTCTTAAATCAAAAGATTGTACCGTGTTTTATACAACCTTAAAATGTCCTACTAGACATTTAGGACCTCATATGTGCAAACTTCATGCTTGGTCATACTCTGGCCAGGTTTAATTCCCTAGTCGTGTTGCTCCAATTTCACTTGATCTTAGCGAAAAAGTCGAGAAGCAATTTACTCCAATTTCAATGAAAGTCATTACTCCAATTTCAATGAAAGTCATTTCCCTCTAGTGTCTGGATAGTGGTTTTCTCCTCTAGTGGTCAGTTGTTCCTCTGCTTTTTATTTCCTGGTACTTCTTAAACAAAAATGTCTTCTAATCTCATTTTTCATAAATTCAAACTTTTATATAATTGGAAACTGGGCATTCCCCTAACAATACTTACTTTATTGTACCTTACATTTTTGGTATTTTTTTAAAATTACAACTAAAGAATTATAATAATTAAATATATATATATATTTAGGTTACATTATCTATAAATTTTATTTCAGAATTGAAAAGTGGCAATTTTTTAATATATAAAAGCGGAATGTTGGGCCCGATAAGGATAAAAACCACTTGTCTAATGCAGTTCATGTGAATATGATTTCAAATCATTCCCCACAGTGAAAGGCTTGAGGCTAATTCATTTATTATTTCCAGGTGAAAGTAGGCAATGTGTGTCAAAGTGGCTCTATCTTCTTATTTCTCAGAAGACATTATCAGCATAATGTAATCTTACATTCATGTGATATTTGGTTTTAAACATAGTCAAATTGTGGGTATATTGCTTTATTAAATGTCATAGATGCATTAAATTATGAAGAAGCACCTAAATATTGTACCAGGTCTCCTATGCAATGAGGCAAGGAGGGTAAGACAGCAATGTAAATGGATTCGGAAGGCCAGTGCGGACTACGGTAAAGTTGATTGTGTCCCATCTCAAAATGACTAGTGCTACTGATGTGCTTTGGCTGTGTCCTCATCAAAATATCACATTGAATTGTAGCTCCTACAATTCCCACATATTGTGGGAGGGACCCAGTGGGAGGTAACTGAATCATGGGGGTGTGTCTTTCCCATGCTGTTCTCATGATAGTGAATAAGTCTCACGAGATCTGATGGTTTTCTACAGGGGAGCTCCCCTACACAAACCGTCTCTTGCCTGCCACCACGTATGACATGCATTTCTCCTCCTTTGCCTTCCATCATGATTGTGAGGCCTCCCCAGCCATATGGGACTGTGAGTCCACCGAACCTCTTTTTTCTTTGTAAATTACCCAGTCTCGGGTGTGTCTTTATTAACAGCGTGATAACTGATTAATATGGCTACCCAGTTCCAACAAATTGTTGCCATGTAGGAATATGGGCTGAGAATTACCAAGTCTATACATTTTAAAACATAAGTAAAAAAAAAAAAAAAAAAAAAAAAACAACATTTCTTAAGACAGATACAACAATTATGGGGTGGCAGCTACACACATACTATTATGCTATCTAACATGGGACCGTATTAAAAGCTACCTATTAAAATAAACAAATATTTAGCAATAATGCAAATAATTGATTTGAATGAAAAGAAACACTTTGTTCTACTGTTCTTGCCATTCCTATTTGGACATATTTATTCATATTATGTTAAATTAGTTTGCTTTTAGAAATGATCTGATATATGTTCAGAGTAAGATTTTGAATTGAAACGTATGAGAGATATTCTTTATCTGTAACCTGCAGCGCTAATATTTAGGGATTAAGTGGTAATATAGACAGACAGATAACATACAATGTTAAAATACTGACATTCAAAGGATGCAAACACGTTTGTTTTCCAGTTAAAACCAGCAGGGGGTTCTGCAACGAAGGAGCCCAGATAAATCACGTTACAATTTTTATTACCAAAATGAAACTCATTTAGCAGCATCTCTCACAGTGGTGCTAACTTCCCAACTTAAGGGAAAAAAGACAAAAATAATACATCAGGACAAAGAATTTCTGGAAGAAGCTCAGGGGAATTTCAACTTACTGATTAGTTTTATGTGAGACATTTTAAAGGATATTAATTCATGGTTTCTCAACCGAATCAGTTAGAAGTTTGAATGAATTTTCCTCTAAACATATCTAAAAATAAGTCAAGCTTGCTGAAAACCGTGGATTTGAGGAGAATATCCTAAAACATAATTTAGTCTAAATACAAATTTATATTTTCAACCTTAAATAGTCACAAAACTAAAATTTGAGCACATTCCAAAACTGGTATTTTGGAATGTCATTATACTTTCATTATACTATAATGTCATTATACTGTATTATACTGCCATTGCTGGTGAAATCAGGCCCTTGCTTTTGTTTTGAGGAGCATTAATGAAAGGTGAAACTCTTCAGGTTCCAGAAGAATCAAATAAACAAAACTAAAGAATCTCTTCAGTTTCCTCTTCACTTTGTAAAATAGCTTGCACAAAAATGTAATACTGACCCGTGAATACCAGTGACTAGAAAGATCAAATTCCCATTGATCTTGGTACAGTTTATGAATTTGTCAATGTTACTGGAATCCACAGTCTGAGCTGACATCAATGATCCTGTGCCAATGCCATCACAAGCTGTAGAAACAAGACTCAGAGTTAGGGGACTGAGAAACTTATTTTTGGCCAATAAATCATTGCATCTTCATTGTAAAATAGCAGAGTATTTTTAATTGCAACATATAAAAATATATTACAAATTTTGTTTTCTAAAAAGTAAAATAATTATTCATTCATTCAACATTCACTACTGGTTCTGCTTTAAAAACTTGTCCCTGCATTAAAATCGAATGACAATGACTCATCATAGAAATTACATTTTATATCAAGACCCAGTATACACACACAACACATACATAAGTTTAACAGAAATTTTATCAATCAATACTCCTCCTAGCAACATAAAATTATCTATTTTCTACTTTATTTGAAAATATCATTTTTAATGATTTTAAAATGCTGGTAACTTTAGTAAAATAATTTCATGGCTTACATACTAATGCTCTACAACCTGCAATTTTAAAAACAGTGGTCTAATGGAGAATATATGTAAATAAAGAGTCTAATGATGTGAATTATAACAAAAATCAAGGGCCATTCAAATATTTATGCTTAAATTGAACATGCTTTCTGAAGCTTCCAGTTTAAACAAACAAACAAAACAACTTTTGTGTGGGGTGGGGGCGCGGGGTGGTGTATAGAAAAATAGAGAGAGGGGATAAGGAAAAAACAGAGAGGAAGAGAGAAAAGACCATCTAAAGTAAGTCTGGAGTTTGTCCTTTTCTAAGGCACTCCCTGATACATTGAAAAGTTTAACAACATTCCTGAGATTTAGACTACATTTTCATCTGGCTTAATTTAGGTTTCATTCTGGTGAGGAATTAGACTACACACAGCTGGAAGAGATTCCTTCCTCCACTGGAATTCTATGGCATGAATTATCTGATATATTTATTTTAAACTTATGTTAAAGTTCCCTGTCATTTCATAGATCTCATCTTTCCAAATATATTTTTAAGATCTGGAGAGTGACTTTCAGGTCCCTATGCATGACTTTTTACGCTTAGCAGATAAAGTTGTATATAGTGCCAAGCAACTAATATGTGTTGTGATGCCAACATAACCATGTGAACTCTTGTTTTTTAACAAAGCTTTTAAGATTTCCTATTGACAGAATAACATGTAAGTGAGTTCCTATCAGTGTTACACCTGAATTTTTTTCTGGACCATTTTAGTAGATATAATTCAAACTCAATAATATACAGTGTTATAAAAGTTCATATTTTGAGTGACTGTCCAAAATTACGGAGAGCATGTGTGGGCAGGTTTTGGTTGTGAGAGTGGGTTTATATTAAAAAGCTGGTACACTTAAAAGTGAATTAAAAGCCTTGTTATATAGGCCCAGTTCTAACTAAATAATCTGAGCTACCACTCACCTTTTGGGCAAATGTCAGTGCAAGGTTTACACATTTTAATCCCATTTTCTTCTACTTCCATCTTGGAACTAGGGCAGGCACGCACACAAGAACTGGAATCTACCACAAAGTTATCTGTTTTTTTTTTTTAAAAAAAAAAAAAAAAGGTAAAATAAGCATTAATGTTAACATTCAGCAAACAAGTTCAAAACAAGATATTTTATGGGTTGGAAATGATTAGCTTCATTGATAGTGTTTATGTATCTTCCCCTTAAACAACAACTCTTTGTTTAAATATCTCAACCTGAAATCGTATTTCCAGTCAAATGCAATGTGTGTTAACAGCAACTAGTACTTGCTTGGTTACTGCTCCACATCCTGAATTGCCCCCAAGATAGACTAGATTTCTTTTATATGCTTAGGAAACTACACTACATTTAGCTTGTGTGTTTCAATAGTTCCACTTCATTTCATGACATGATGCAACTTTAAAGACTAAAAATACTTCAAGTTCATGAAGCACAAATGAAGCTTAAGTTGAACTGCCTTGGATTAAGAGAGTACACTTCACATCAAGGAGAAAATGCTTAAAATGTGTTCTATTTTTCAATGGAGTGCCACAAAAACTTTCTCATATTTTTACATGAAGAAACAACATAAAATTGGAAAGGGTAGCACTTTGGAAAAGGTACATCAAATAGACAAGGAGCATTTTGTTACTCAATACTTGGATTAAATGTCTAGGAGTCCAGTGACCTGGGATATGCCAGAACATCCCCTCCAAAATAAAGGACAAATTGTTGCATCTAAAGGCTCTCACAATAAATGGAAACACAATACCTGCTAGGCCACTCTGGTTTTAAAAGTAGCATCCTTCCATGCCTGGGAATATTGCTCTGGCACAAGATGCAATGTTGTGGAATGCTTACAGCATTGAGGGGTGCGCAAAGCAGAAAGGCACATGATGTAGATCTAGGCTGTGGTGCAAGCAGTTTTGCTACTTGGGCCATAAAACACAAGAGGCTCAATATTGGAAGCATCTACAGTGGGAAAATATGCCATGTAGTTTTATGGCAAATTTCATCAGAAAATCACAACAGAGATTTCTAGTTTTTCAGAGCTAAGCTAGGCCACCTATAGCATAAGATAGTACACCATTTAATAAACAGCTTTTGACGTGCTTCTGGGTCCTGGTAGAGGTGGGTCTTGGGTCAGACCTTGTAGCCAGAATTGCCTATTATGAATAGGGTTTTGCTATAATGTTACAATGTCATCATATTGGGCAGGTCCAATAGCGATCCATTGTAAAATTAAAGTAGGATATAAGCAGGGGCAGAAACACAAGTAAACTGCATAAGCAAATGGTTAAGAACCCCCAACGCCATCCACCACTGAGCTGGTCCCTCTCAGTCAGCTCATACCTATGGTTTGTGGGGGCTGAGAGAAGGCACTTAAGAAAAACTAACAAAGTAAGACACAAACTAAACTAGGAATGTGGATACTAGCTGAAAATGGATGGCAGCGTCTCTGTCTGTGGTCTCACCTATGAGTGGACTTGAAACACAGAGACAAGAGAAAATCTTACCAACAGGCATAATTTTAGGTAGCAAAACTGATTACTCATTTTGTATGAAAAGAGAAGTTGCTTGACCTTAGAATATATATGAACTCATGAGCTTATCCTGAGAGAAGAAATACTGGAAAACTTGAGAAGAAACAGAATCTGGGGCAAAGGGATATGTGAGAATCCATGGGAGTGGGTACAAAGTATGGAAAAATTTGTATTCCAAGTCAACATCCACATGAAAGCCTCCACCACAACAAAGAGGCACTTTGTTGGCATGATATCAAAGTCCAACCTTGCTTTCTTCCCTTCTCCAAAAAGTGTTGATTTTGAGACTGCTCCTTATCATAACCTAATTTCTATCTCAGGGGAACCCAACCTACAACAGGTGCGTACACGATATTAAATAGCCATTCTTTGTTCCAGGTCTGGTGATATGGTTTGGATCTGTGTCCCCATCCAAATCTCATGTCAAATTATAATCCCAGTATTGGAGGTGGGACCTGGAGGGAGGTGAGTGAATCATGGGGGCGGCTTCCCATGGTTTAACACCATCCTCCTTGGTGTTGTCGTGACAAGAGTGAGTTAGCATGAGATCTGGTTGTTTAAAAGTGTGTAACACTTCCTGCCCCTCTCTTCCTCCTGCTCCAGCCATGGAAGACATACTTGCTTCCCCTTCACCTTCACTGTGATTGAAAGCTTCCTGAGCTCTCCCCAGGGTGTCCTGTACAGCCTGCAGAACCATGAGCCAATTGTACTTCTTTTGTTTATCAATTACCCAGTCTCAGGTATTTCTTTTCTTTTCTTTTCTTTTTTTTTTTTGTTATACTTTAAGTTCTAGGGTACATGTGCACAATGTGCAGGTTTGTTACATATGTATACATGTGCCATGTTGGTGTGCTGCACCCATTAACTCATCATTTACATTAGGTATATCTCCTAATGCTATCTCTCGCCCCTACCCGCTCCCCACAATAGGACCTGGTGTGTGATGTTCCTCTTCCTGTGTCCAAGTGATCTCATTGTTCAATTCCCACCTGTGAGTGAGAACATATGGTGTTTGCTTTTCTATTCTTGCAATAGTTTGCAGAATGATGGTTTCCAGCAGCATCCATGTCCCTACAAAAGACATGAACTCATCCTTTTTTATGACTGCATAGTATTCCATGGTGTATATGTGCCACATTTTCTTAATCCAGTCTGTCACTGATGGACATTTGGGTTGATTCCAAGTCTTTGCTATTGTGAATAGTGCCACAATAAACATACGTGTGCATGTGTCTTTATAGCAGCATGATTTATAATCCTTTGGGTATATCCCCAGTAATGGGATGGCTGAGTCAAATGGTATTTCTAGTTCTAGATCCTTGAGGAATCGCCACACTGTTTTCCACAATGGTTTAACTAGTTTACAGTCCCACCAACAGTGTAAAAGTGTTCCTGTTTCTCCACATCCTCTCCAGCACGTGTTGTTTCCTGACTTTTTAATGATTGCCATTCTAACTGGTGTGAGATGGTATCTCACTGTGGTTTTGATTTGTATTTCTCTGATGGCGAGTGATGATGAGCATTTTTTCATGTGTCTGTTGGCCGTATGAATGTCTTCGGTTGAGAAGTGTCTGTTCATATCCTTTGCCCACTTTTTGATGGGGTTGTTTGTCTTTTTCTTGTAAATTTGATTGAGTTCTTTATAGGTTCTGGATATTAGCCCTTTGTCAGATGAGTAGATTGCAAAAATTTTCTCCCATTCTGTAGGTTGCCTGTTCCCTCTGATGGTAGTTTCTTTTGCTGTGCAGAAGCTCTTTAGTTTAATTAGATCCCATTTGTCGTTTCTGGCTTTTGGCTTTTGTTGCCACTGCTTTTGGTGTTTTAGACATGAAGTCCTTGCCCATGCCTATGTCCTGAATGGTATTACCTAGGTTTTCTTCTAGGGTTTTTACAGTTTTAGGTCTAACATTTAAGTCTCTAATCCATCTTGAATTAATTTTCATATAAGGAGAAAGGAAAGGATCCAGTTTCAGCTTTCTACTTATGGCTAGCCAATTTTCCCAGCACTGTTTAATAAATAGGGAATCCTTTCCCCATTTCTTGTTTTTGTCAGGTTTGTCAAAGATCAGATGGCTGTAGATGTGTGGCTAGTCAATTTTCTACTTATGGCTAGTCAATTTTACCAGCACCATTTATTAAATAGGGAATCCTTTCCCCATTTCTTGTTTTTGTCAGGTTTGTCAAAGATCAGATGGCTGTAGATATGTGGTATTATTTCTGAGGGTTCCGTTCTGTTCCATTGGTCTCTATCTCTGTTTTGTTACCAGTACCATGTTGTTTTGGTTACTGTAGCTTTGTAGTGTAGTTTGAAGTCAGGTAGCATGATGCCTCCAGCTTTGTTCTTTTGGTTTAGGATTGTCTTGGCAATGTGGGCTGTTTTTTGGTTCCATAAGAACTTTAAAGTAGTTTTTTCCAATTCTGTGAAGAAAGTCATTGGTAGCTTTATGGAGATGGCATTGAATCTATAAATTACCTTGGGCAGTATGGCCATTTTCATGATATTGATTCTTCCTATCCATGAGCATGGTATGTTCTTCCATTTGTTTGTGTCCTCTTTTATTTCACTGAGCAGTGGCTTGTAGTTCTCTTTGAAGAGGTCCTTTCATCCCTTGTAAGTTGGATTCCTAGGTATTTTATTCTCTTTGAAGCTATTGTTAATGGGAGTTCATTCATGATTTGGCTCTCCGTTTGTCTGTTACTGGTGTATAAGAATGCTTGCGATTTTTGTACATTGATTTTGTATCCTGAGACTTTGCTGAAGTTGCTTATCAGCTTAAGGAGATTTGTGGCTGAGATGATGGGGTTTTCTAAATATACAATCATGTCATCTGCAAACAGGGACAATTTGACTTCTTCTTTTCCTAACAGAATATCTATTATTTCTTTCTCTTGCCTGATTGCCCTACCCAAAACTTCCAACACTATGTTGAATAGGAGTGGTGAGAGAAGGCATCCCTGTCTTGTGCCAGTTTTCAAAGGGAATGCTTCCAGTTTTTGCCCATTCAGTATGATATTGGCTGTGGGTGTGTCATAAATAGCTCTTATTATTTTGAGATATGTTCCATCAATACCGAATTTATTGAGACTTTTAAGCATGAAGGGCTATTGAATTTCATCAAAAGCCTTTTCTGCATCTATTGAGATAATCGTGTGGTTTTTGTCTATGGTTCTGTTTATATGCTGGATTACATTTATTGATTTGTGTATGTTGAACCAGACTTGCATCCCAGGGATGAAGCCCACTTGATCATGGTGGATAAGCTTTTTGATGTGCTGCTGGATTCAGTTTGCCAGTATTTTATTGAGGACTTTTGCATCGATGTTCATCAGGGATATTGGTCTAAAATTCTCTTTTTTTGTTGTGTCTCTGCCAGGCTTTGGTATCAGGACGATGTTGGCCTCATAAAATGAGTTAGGGAGGATTCCCTCTTTTTCTATTGAATGCAATAGTTTCAGAAGGAATGGTACCAACTCCTCCTTGTACCTCTGGTAGAATTTGCCTGTGAATCCGTCTGGTCCTGGC